TTTTAAATACAGGAATCTCATGATTATGGTAGGAAAGACAGTGGCGTGAAGGGGAAATTTAAAATGGACACAAGTTGAGGAAGGATGTCAGTTATTTTTTTCTCTTCTGTGCTTCCAGATGCATTAGTTTTTCTAAATAGGATGCATAAATAGTTGCACAAATTTGGTCATGAATCAAATCTAAGTTTTGAACTCCCAAATGATTACTCGAAACAGAGTAGAAATAAAGTGACTTAAATTCTGATTTTTTTTTCCTGGTGTTAGTGCTTCACATCACCATGCAGATGACTCATTAAGATCAAAGTCTTGCTAGATAGTTTTTAGATAATATGGTCGGGGTGCTTTAGAAATGGGTGCTTTTATATAGAGGGAATTCTGCAGAGACCAGTATTCCAACCTGCAACTCATGTTTCCTTTTACATTAGGGGTTGTGGCCCTGAAAAAGACCACGTATATTTGCAGTTGCACCATTTACCACCACAGCAGCTAGCAATGCGCCTCCCTGGAATTTCAGAAACAGCTATGATATTTGCTGGTGTGGATGTCACAAAAGAGCCTATTCCTGTTCTTCCTACTGTGCATTACAATATGGGAGGTATTCCTACTAACTACAAAGGGCAGGTAATGACCATAGATCAGTATTGTGAAACCATTTTTCTCTAGTAGAAAGGAAATGTTTGGTTCCTTGTAAAATTAGTGTGAACTGAGCATGCTATTAGATTTTTACATACAAGTATGTTAAATTACATAACCTTAAGAGTAATAATGTTAAAGGAAAATTTGCAAAATGTCATAATTTGGTTTGTCCTGTAAACAAGTTGTCAGAGTTCTCAGGTTGTTTGGGTGGAGCTGGAACTCGAGACAATATGCAAAATATGAAATATATTTTTTCAATATGCATGAAATCTACAGAATTCTTTATATTAGCCATATGAAAGCTTATCCAGATGAGAGTAGTACTGTATAGTTAAAAATGGATTATAGCTGGGCCTGAACTACAAATCATTAAGGGCTTAGGTTATGTGGATTATCTGTGCCACTGCTGCAATCCCTGCGCTAAAATTGGTTACTTCAGTTTGCCATTAAAATTGGCATTTAAACAGCAGCAACCAGTCCAAGCATCAGCCAGAGTGAATCTGTGAATGGACCAGTCTGATTGCTTGGACTAGTTCCTTTTGATCAGTTTTTAAAATAGCTATAAAATTCTGCCTTGTGAATGTGGCCTGGCATTATAAAAGATCCAGTGTTCTTCCCACTGTACTCAGAATTTTACTACAAAAATATTTTGGTGAATTGTAGTACTTTGTGTCTGAGATGGTGGCAAAACATAATTAAACTGTTAATACCACATTCCTATAGAGCACTTTTTTCAATTAATAAATTATTCTCATGGAGTCTCTTCTCCCCCCCCGCCTTAAATATATCACTTACTATTTAGATTTCTTTGACTTCATGCTTTCAAGACAAATAAGTGACATTCAAATACATTCAAATGAAATGTTGACACTGTACTACAAGTGATCTTTATTTTACAAATGAATTTGCAAACATGTTGAGTGAATTCCTTCTGAAATTACAGGTAATTACACATGTGAATGGCAAAGATCAAGTAGTACCTGGCTTGTATGCTTGTGGTGAAGCAGCCTCTGCATCCGTTCATGGTGCTAATAGACTTGGAGCAAACTCTCTTTTGGACTTGGTGGTCTTTGGTCGTGCTTGTGCCCTTAGTATTGCAGAATCGTGCAAGCCTGGTAAGATTCTACAAGTTTAACTTGTATCAAGATGAATTGTTATAAATTCCTATCCTTAAAGCACTCTCATATCTTTAAATCTTAGCAAGTAATTATAGGGCTATTAGCTAGACTATTAGAAAATTGCAGTAGCTTTTTTTTATTACTGTTCTACATAACATGCAGTGTTACTGACTGTTCAAGAACTCGCCATACTACATCTAATTGCAGGAAAATATAATTCTGCCAAAGCAACTGGAAAATATGATTGAGAAGCTTTTCTCCCAAACCAGAAAAATTTAGCATTACTAATGTTATCACAAGTTTTAAGAAACAAGGCCTTGCAACATACTACATTTTGAGGTGGATGATACAGTGCAGACTCATCTTATACTGTTTATTCTTATATTAAACTAGTCTGAGATTATGGCATTTGCTGTGGCCTTGCACATACAACATGTTAAATGTTAAACTCTAAACATAATATCCGTTCCTTCGGGTGCATGTCAGTTTGCAACATAACTGAGAATTTGGAAGGCAATTTACAGTTTGACTTAATACCTAGATCTTTCCATTGTAACTTCTATGATTCTATAGTTTGATCCTAAAGCAAATAATACATTCTAAAACTAGTACTGAAGGTTTTGATTTTAATAATTTCTGATTTTGTGGATCAGAAGAACACTTTCATCTAGTTTCTTTAAAAGGATTAGCACAGTGCCCTTTTATTTCTGGTTAGTTTACATGTGTAAATATATCAAATCCTGTAAATAAAATCACATCTACTGAAATAGCGGGCTGGGGCTGAAGAGGGGTACCTAGGCCAAGCTACAGAAAGAATGTACACTCGAACTAGGAATCTGATTTGGATTAGCTCTTATTAAAGAGTCTTAATTAATCTTTTCCCTGGATAGTAAATGGGATTTAAACATGGTTGTATGGCAGGCTCATTTCCTATGCTTCCCTGAAGTCTAGGACATTATGTAAATCCCAGCCATAAAACTCTGAGCATTAAGGTTGAGATTAAGTTAAATGCTAATAGAACACTTCAGATTTAAAACCCAAAACATATATAATTAAATATATCTAAATTAAGTCAAGAAATTCCTGTTAGTTCACAGGACCAACACTGATCTTAATTCTTGTCACTCACCCTCCCCATCGATAACTCTCCAGTACAAGCTGTAGCTATTTAGAACTGTACCTGTTTCTCAGAATTGTGACTCCACCTACCATCTATAGGCTGGAGATCTGACTTTTCCCCACATTTCTTGTCAGCAATGATAACCATTGCATCTTCTCTATGTATGGAGTAGAGATGACACACTATCCTTATCTACCACTTCAGTTTGGGCTATACATCTCTTGCTCCCTCAGTATGAGGTTGAGATTTCACCCATCTGTTATGTGCTAGAGATCAGTTTGTGCCCTAATGTGCTTACATGTGGGTCCTGGAGCTCACAATAATTTATAAACCCTGGGAATATGGACCTTAGATCCGCCCTGGGACGCAATAGAGACTGTGAGTGGATGGATGGCATATTTCTGTAACACTGAGAAAACTTGGTTTCCTCTTTGTGACTATTGGTGAGGTGTTCTCTGACAATATGTGAAGTGTTATGAAGGATGATGTGGCAGTAAAGGCTGGAATTTTTACTGTTGTATTTCTTTTGAGCTTAATTAACATTCTGTTTACACTTTTATTTAAGTTAAATATATTTTCAAACTTACTGTAAAATTGGCACTAATATTTAAACCATTTTCAAGCTGTAAAACACTGCATACTAAGTGGTAATATGGAAAGCCTGTTTTGAAATGTTTTAGTTAATCTACGCATCCCAGTTTATCTCCTGCCAAAACTTAAAAATGCTAAGTTTAATACGTTGCAGTCTTAATGATTCCTTTGTATCTCAAAGTGCTCTTCGCCATCTCCATGAGGCAAGTGAGTAGTAGCTGCAATTTACAGATGAGGAAACTGAAGCATAATACTGACAGGCTGTAACTTGACTGAGGTCACACATGAATTTAGTGGCAGACACATCAAGAAACAATGACAGGCTCTTATTTTGAGATAAATATAAAGTAAAATAAAAGAAGCAACTAAAAATAGTTATTGCTGTGTAAAATTGCCACAGGCTGAGGATCATTAAATCTTGATTTTATTGAAATAATTGCATAAGAAAACTGAAGATGTTTACCCTTAATAGGAGAACCAGTTCCCTCAATTAAACCAAATGCCGGAGAAGAATCTGTTGCAAATCTTGACAAACTACGATTTGCCAATGGAAACATTAGAACATCAGAACTGAGGCTTAATATGCAAAAGGTAAGGATCTCAGTACCAATGATTGTAGCACAGTATCTTGAGATGAGGTTGATTATTAAAATATACTGTAGGTGTTTATGAAAACTGAGTTGCTATTTAGTAGAGCTGAAGCTCAAACTTTGGAAAACTTTTTGAATTTATCAAAATCAACCTTTTTTCCATACAAAGATCCTTCTGCTCCAATCAGCTGCCCAAAATATCATCTTTTTTTCCTTAAATTAGGAATAAGAAATGCCACCTCTCTCTATTTGAAACAGTCACTCCTCTTCTGACCTACTTTTTGTCTGTGATCTGATAGGAGAGACCTCTTTCCAAATGAAATATTTTATGTTTACCAAGGAGAATGCCTGTTCTACTCTTTGGCCCATGCTTCAAGCTCAGCACCTGATGGCAAATCCTAGTGCTCGGAAGTTCTGAGTTGTGTTGTCCATAAGGGGTTTTCTTGTGTGCTCATCACTTAGTTTGGGCACCCAGAACCTAAATTCTTGTCTCCAGAAGCCAAATCTATAACCATGTTTGTAAGTATGTTCAGACAAGACTTGTGACTGCTTTGCAAATTGTCATACACAGATCTGACTGGTAACCAAGATTACTTCCTGTAGGAAACGCCCGACTAAAAGTGAAATGTAGACAAGGTGGGCGAGGGAATATCTTTTATTGGACCAACAAAGATATTACCTCACCAAGTTTGTCTCTTTAGTATCCTGGGACTGACACGGCTACAACACCACTGCATACGTAACGTGAAATGTAGTAAGACAGCCACTTCAACAGTGTTGGGAACATAGGAACTGCCATACTGGATGTGACCTGAGGTCCATTTAGGCCCATATTCTGTCTCTGACTGCATTATATGATTCAGAGGAAGGTATAAGAACCCTGCAGTAAACACGTGTGGTATAATTTTCCCCACCACATTAGGTCTCATCTTGATCTCTACTAGAGATTAGCATAAGACCTAAAGCATGAGATTTAATATCCCTTCCAAACTTTTTTCTATGAGTGGATGTTCTTGTTATCCATACATATATCCTATCCCATTTGTAATCTTGCTGAGTTTTTGGCCGCAACAATGTCCTGTAGCAGTGAGTTCCACAGTCTAATTATATGTTGTAAAAAAAAGTATTTCTCTCTTATCTGTGTTGAGTACCACCTTTTAATTTCGTTGAATGCCTTCATTGAATGTTCTTCTTAGTTGTAACAGAACCTAGTGAGGTGATGCTGAATGAAACATGGGGCTATGTGTACTTTCAAGAACTTTAATCCACCCTAGGTAAAAGCCTATGGAGCATTTCATGTCGAACTGGAATTGCACATTCAAGTGTAAGCAAAAATGTTGGCAAGGTGATTGGAAGCCCTTCTGGAATTAATTTAGGATGCAGTCATAACATTAACTTGTGGCATTTTAAAGTGCACCTGAACCTCACTCAGAACAGAATGGACTTCCACCAGAAATATGACTTTTCTTTTTGTAAGAAAGTTGAGCTCACAGTGATTCAAAAGCTTTCATTGATTTAGTCGGACCACTTTAAAATTCTGTATATCACAAAATAATAATTGGAGATTCCAAATGTATCAAGCCTTGCGTGAACCCAGTGAGAGTCGGTAGCAAAACTGGTGACCTTTGAACCTAGTATCAGTATGCTGTTCAGGGATCCAGTTCGGTGAATAAAAAGGTGGTACTGTTCCCAATCCCCACCCACAATCCCAGAATAACTGGATTTTTCTGTCACTCTGTCCTGCCCTTCCTGTTGCGACCCCTTTATAGTCTGCCCCACTGTATTGTAGAATCCTGGTAGCTTTCCCAGATTTTAGGGCAGTGGTCCCAAAACTTTTCAGGGTTATGCCCTCCTCCTCCCCGTGCTGGGAGCAGAGGCATGGCTCCCAGGAGGTGGGTGTGTGTGTGTGTGTGTGTGTGTGTGTGTGTGAGAGAGAGAGATGCGGACAAGGTAAGGGGGCTGAGGTGGGGGGCGGGGGCAGGGCCAGGGGTGGAGCTGGAGCTGCTGCTGGGACAGGGCCGGAGCAGAGCTCGGAGTGGAGCAGGGCTTGGTGGCACTCCCTCCCTGCCCCCTCTGGGGGCTGGCCCAGGCCCTGCCGTGCCCCCCTCAAACATTCCTCTGTGCCCGCCTAAGGGGACCTCTGCTTTAGGGCCTGTTGTGCCTGCAGAAGTGTATGAGGAGTGGGGATATTTGGCCCTTAGAAGTATTTCAGACTTCCTGTTCAGGATGGCAGCATGGCATTACTTCACATACAGAATATGTTTGCAACCATAATAACTAGAAATGTTAAAAGAAAGCTTAAAATTCTGCAGAAACTAGTGAGGTTACAAGAGAAATTCTAATGCCTTTCTTGAAACTTCTTGCAGTTTTTGGAAGTATACTATTTCTTTATTTTGATGTGTTTCAGACAATGCAAAGTCATGCCGCAGTGTTCCGAACAGGCTCAGTACTACAGGAAGGCTGTGAGAAACTCAGCCACATTTATCGTGATTTGGATGACCTGAAGACATTTGATAGAGGTAATGAGATATCGTTAGAAAATACTTCTACAATGGTTTGTGTATTTGAGTATTTTCATTTTGTTACCTGTGGGTGTACTTATTTTCCAAGTGTTGAGAGAGTGTGTGTGTGTGTGTGTGTATGTTCTACATTGAAAGGTATTTTCAGCTACAAAGAGGAGCTAGGTATAGCACCATTTGGTTGTCTTGACTATTGTGAATTCACATGGAAACATTTTAAAGAGATTTTGTTTAAATGTTTTAAAGAATGTGTGTAGATTAGAAAAAGTCAGGCGTTCATGAATGTGAGTTTTTTGTTTTCTATTTTGTGTAGGCTAGCTAACACTTTTCAAATTTGACTATAGAACATATTATTACCTTCCAGGGAACTTGTGTACCATTTTTCACCTCAAATACACAGAGGGCTATTGGAGTCTTCTCAGTTTATTATAAATAAATTGTGAAAACAGGTTTTTTTCGTGCAAGTGTAATATCAACCTGTTCTTATCAATAACAATGTTCAGGTATATATTTATTTGAAAAACAGACATTGCACACGCAAATCCAGTTTTGCTGAACTCTCTAAGGAGGATTTAAACCTTTTTTTTTTTTAAGAAAAAAAGTAGGATAAGAGTTTATTAAACAAGATGACACAACTTAATCATTTGTAAATTCTTTTTTTCCCTTTCTGCAATCTGTCTCTTTCTGTAGCTGCTTTTAGAGATGTGCCTTAAACTGAACATTTTGAAGTGACCCTCTTACAGGCTGTAGTGCTTGCCAAACACCAAGAGGAAAAGCCTGATGTAGAACTTAGAGCCTAGGGATGAGTGGCATGATGCCAGTACACCTGTGATCCCGGCAATTGGATTGTACAGTGTCCTAAAGAGGTAGACTGTATCTATCCTGTATGGATAGAGGATACCAATAAAATTCTGCTGGAAAAGCTCTTTTGCCCAGCTACCCCCAAGATTTTTTTAAAAAGTGACCTTAATTAAATTTTGCAGCCAAATCTTGTGATCTGAAACAAACTGCTTGAGTGTGAGGACAGAATTGTGTTTTGACATATAGCATGCAAGATTCCACCTTGGTTTTGGCACACTCAATCTTGAATAATATGTCTTTTTGACTGAGAGGGGTAATTGAGATTGGTCTCACAATTGTCTCTAGTAATCACAGGCACATATCTCAAAACAACTATATACTTTTGCACAGTTATGCAGGATTGTCAGCTTATGAAAGATGCAATACTGGAAGAGAGCTTTGCAGGCTATGACTGAGATGCATTGATAATTTCATAGGGAAGCTTGCACTGTGACTACAGTGGTCTGTTGCCTAAGTACCAACAAAAAGAGAGAAAAATTGAGCTGAAGTTCTTACCATTGGTGCTGGAATATTTTTCAAAGTAGTGTAATATCTTGTTAGGTATTGTGTGGAATACTGACTTAGTGGAGACCTTGGAACTGCAAAATTTGATGCTGTGTGCTATGCAAACTATTTATGGTGCTGAGGCTCGGAAAGAATCTCGTGGTGCTCATGCCAGAGAAGACTACAAGGTGCTTATGTACTTTATAACATTTAGCTTCATAAATATGTTTTTCATACATGAGACCAACTTTTGTCAACAAACATATCTCTTGGTCTTAATCAATTGTACTTGAGTTTGGGGGGTGACTTTTTTTCCCCCAGTCTGCATTGTTTATTCCTAAAACTCACATAAATTAGATTCTTATTTAAGATATTTTTTTTTAAGTGTTCCTAATGTTGGCTTAAAGCTTGTGAAATTGATTTGTGGTCTGAATTGTGAGTAAATCCAAATGACTTTCACACCCCTTGATCAGTACCTCAGTAACCAGAATCAGCTGGGTATTGATGTGATGAAAGCACAGCTCCTAGTCAGGCCTATTGAATCTTACTGTTTGAAATACTGATAAAGAAGATAGGAACAGGAATGATATGGCCACTGGATACATAAAAAGAATTGAAAAGAGTTAAGCATTATATGCAGACATCACGCTCTAGAACAGGGGTAGGCAACCTATGGCACGCGTGCCGAAGGCGGCACATGAGCTGATTTTCAGTGGCAGTCACACTGCCTGGGTCCTGGCCACCGGTCTGGGGGGCTCTGCATTTTAATTTAATTTTAAATAAAGCTTCTTAAACATTTTAAAAACCTTATTTACTGTATATACAACAATAGTGTAGTTATATATTATAGACTTATAGAAAGAGACCTTCTGCAAACATTAAAATGTATTACTGGCACTCGAAACCTTAAATTAGAGTGAATAAATGAAGACTCGGCACACCACTTCTGAAAGGTTGCCGACCCCTGCTCTAGAATTTCCACAAACTCAGTTACAATCCTACTTAACTTGCTGAAGCTCTGCAATGATTTTTAAATAAAAGCAGGAATTGACATAAAATTCAGTAAAACAGCTTAATATTAGCCTACATTTGGTATAATGGCATTATAATCAGAAGAGACCTAATCTTGAAGGACGTTATTAAATGCATTTGCAAAATGCAATTCCTGGTCTACAGCATAATACTTTCTTTTTACTGCTTAGGTAAGAGTAGATGAATATGATTTTTCCAAGCCAATCCAAGGGCAACAGAAAAGACCATTTGAAGAGCATTGGAGAAAACACACCCTTTCTTTTGTGGATGTCAAGACTGGGAAGGTATGTTGGCTCTGGGCTTGGAGGTTTCATTCTGTCGCTGTCAGTGGGGTGGAAATTGCATGATTGCAGTGGAAATGAGTTGAAGTTTCTTCATAAAGTCCACATTCAGTTTTTCTAAATTACAACACTACTTCTTGAGTATATGACGAACTAAATGTATGAGATGATACAAGAGCCATTCCTGGGGACTATCACTGAATTGCTGTTTAGCAATTGACTTTACACTTGGAGTAGGAATTGGAATAGTTTTTCAGCTTAGAACAGGCTAGTTCAAAGTTCTTACCATTACGCACAGATAATGCATGTTTTGATGCTTAGCATAAATCATTTATGGATTCAAAAAGAAATGTATTAAAAATCTGTGGTCTTACAAACTCCCTCCTGAGATGATCTACAGTATCCCTCCAATGTGAAGTACTGAGGATCACCTCCACCTCCAAGTGATTAACCTCCTTAGTTGGCCAGATGGGTTATTGTTGAGCGGCATGCGGCACTCTTAGAATCATAGAATATCAAGGTTGGAAGGGACCTCAGGAGGTCATCTAGTCCAACCCCCTGCTCAAAGCAGGACCAATCCCCAACTAAATTATCCCAACCAGGGCTTTGTCAAGCCTGACCTTAAAAACCTCTAAGGAAGGAGATTCCACCACCTCCCTAGGAAACCCATTCCAGTGCTTCACCACCCTCCTAGTGAAAACGTTTTTCCTAAAATCCAACCTAAACCTCCCCCACTGCAACTTGAGACCATTACTCCTTGTTCTGTCATCTGGTACCACTGAGAACAGTCTAGATCCATCCTCTTTGGAACCCCCTTTCAGGTAGTTGAAAACAGCTATCAAATCCCCCCTCATTCTTCTCTTCTTCAGACTAAATAATCCCAGTTCCCTCAGCCTCTCCTCATAAGTCATGTGCTCCAGCCCCCTAATCATTTTTGTTGCCCTCCGCTGGACTCTTTCCAATTCTTCCACATACTCCTCGTAATGTGGGGCCCAAAACTGAACACAGTACTCCAGATGAGGCCTCACCAATGCCAAATAGAGGGTAATGATCACATCCCTCGATCTGCTGGCAATGCTCCTACTTATACAGCCCAAAATGCTGTTAGCCTTCTTGGCAACAAGGGCACACTGTTGACTCTCATCAAGCTTCTCGTCCACTGTAACCCCTAGATCCTTTTCTGCAGAACTGCTGCCTAGCCACTAGGTCCCTAGTCTGTAGCAGTGCATGGGATTCTTCGGTCCTAAGTGCAGGACTCTGCACTTGTCCTTGTTGAACCTCATCAGATTTCTTTTGGCCCAATCCTCCAATTTGTCTTGGTCCCTCTGTATCCCATCCCTTCCCTCCAGCGTATCTACCGCTCCTCTTCCCTCAGACAGACTGTGCCTCCAAATGCTCCAAGACCCTGCTGGCTCAAGAGGCAAGAAAGGAACTAGAACTAAATCTTGCTTATTAAAGCTGGTCAGAGTTTTATTTTTTATTTTATTTGAAACACTTTTGATTTTAAAAAATTGCTTTTTCACTAAACTTTTTTTGCGAGTTTTTTTTCTCCTTTTTAGTCAATTTTCTAGTTTTGATGCAGTACAAGAAATGGAAAAACTAAAGTTTTTTGTTTGTCAAAGTTTTTTGAGGAACTGTATAAATTTGATTTCTAAATTTTCCACAATACTGGCAATTTTTGACCAATTCTATTTTTTTAATGATATTAGAGCAGTTCCGATTATTTTTCATTATTGGGATTTAGCAGGAATTGTGAATATTTTTCATGCTATCTTCTGGGTTTGATGCAGTGGTTTGCTTTGCCTTAATTAAGACACTGTTTTATATTTTTAGGTTACTTTGAGATACAGACCTGTAATTGACAAAACTTTAAATGAAGAAGACTGTGCAACAGTTCCACCTGCTATTCGTTCCTACTAATGATGGTTAGCTATGTAAATCAGCTTATGTAATTATGTATATGTCTGCCATAGCTTGCTGGTATACATGAACATATTAAGTATTCTCTTATTCAGAAAGCTACTGTTATGTTAATGATGGTTGAAGAATGCTGTTCTCACTGATGCTCTGTTCGGTGGCTAGCATATCACCATTAAACCAATGTGCACAAAGCCGTACACTGATTCTCTTTCATCCCTTTGTCAAAACATTTGAAGTGAACATACAGAACTAATGCCAAAATAAAATAATCTAAAACAGCCCTGCCTACTTGTTACAGCTTTTCTTTTTACCTTTTTTTTTTTTTTTAAACCTCTGGAGCTCTGCACATTGAAATAAACTTAATGCATTTATTTTGAATAAGGGGCTACTGTAATGTGCTGCTTGAGACATGCATTTCATGATTAGGGGTGCAATTTAAAGTTAAGCTTCGAGGACAATAACTTTGCCCTGTTGCACATTACCTATTTATGTTAGTTGCTGTGGGAACTGTAACTTTGAATTTCTAAACCTAAGATTTAAAGCATCTGTTATGTTTCATTAGTGCACAGTAGGGCTTTTTTTAATTTATTTGAAGAAACCTAATTATTTTACTACAAGGCAAATTGTTTCCTTTGAGCAAATATCCTCCACTCAAAGGTAGACTGAATAAACTGAACATATTCTTAGTCAAGTCAAAACCACTGAAAAAATTAAAGATTTACAGAATATTCCTATGAGGATGGATAAATTAGAGTGAATTCATTAGAAAAGGACTTTTTTCTTCCTCCCTACCAGGAAATAAACAAAGGATCAGATTTATAGAACAGGGTTCTTTATAGCTTAACATTGTTACAAAACATATACCATGCTTAGTGTTAACAATATAAAATGAAAAGCATACACTACAGAATTTCCTTAGCACACAAATACATCTTGTCTGCTAATCTGGGTGGGGACAACAAATATGAATATTGTAATTAAATACTGTTATGTATTGTGTATTTGCATAAAGAATCCCTTTTCTGTTAACTGACAAAAGGACTGCAGCACAGTATATGTAATCCTCTAAAATTGAGTTATGAAACGCTCATTTACTCTTGATCAGCAGTTCTCAAAACTATGGGGTGGGCCTCTCCAGGGAGGGGTGAACTGAGTGCTTTTTGTAAAAGCTCTGGCTGTCAGCCTCCGGTGGCTGGGGCTCATGCAGGACTGTGCACACCTGGGAGGTGGAGATAAAGGGGCCAGTTGGATCCCCACCCTCTGGACTCAGATTCTCCGTTCCCAACCCCCTCCCCTACAGATAAGTGATATGAAATGGATTACTATCAGGAATACTAGCAAATTTTTTGCTAGAACTGAGAACTTGCTAAACCCTTATGTGACTACTGACTCTTAATTTATATTCAGCCATCTCTCTTCATCAGTACATATGAGATTATTCTAGTGTCATGGGTTACAGGCACTTCACCATTTTTTAGAAATTTATTTTTACTATGATCAACCTGGAAATATGTTGCTTGAAAGAAGGGATGATTCATCACAGCTTAAAAACTTTTAAGTAAAAGGAAGGACCAAAGCCTTCTTTCACATGCGGAGGTTAACTCCTTTACTCAAAGTCCAATCTTAAATATGAGACAGCTGGTTTTTCTTTTCTACTTAAAATAGTTGTGCCAGTTGTCTAGCCCTCACTGGTTCCCTTACAGAGTCTGACATGGTGCCTATTTAAGCGTGCTTCACTTCTCATGGAAGCTCATGAAATGAACTATCTTGGGTTACTGGGTTATATGCATTTGAAGAAGTGAGGTTTTTACCCACAAAAGCTTATGCCCAAATAAATGTTAGTCTTTAAGGTGCCACCAGACTCCTTGTTGTTTTTGGGTTATATGTGCACATGATGAACAAATATTTCTGGTACACGGGCAACATTCTGTCACCAGGTCTGTGTACTGACAGGATCAAGATTTAATGAGTGGTCATGAAATTTAGTTAATGTTTAAAGGAAGGGGCAAGTACAGGCTGGGTAAAAACAAATGCCAATAACACAAGGCCATAGATATTGCCAGTAGTACAGGGCAATGTATAAGACAAGGCACGCCTGAAAAGAAAGGTAGCTTCTTCCAAGCGCTGCCCAGGTGCGTAACCTAGGTGAGGCAGGAGATGGTGGAGGTGTTCAAAGGAGCAAGAAGGGATTTATCATTTATTCTCTAAGCACCTTAAAATTAATCGTCAGTGGCGCTTGTCGGCCGTGGGGCTCGGCGTCTCGACTGGAGAGAAAGCGGGACGTTGCGACCTAGCCGCGCCGGTGCCGGCCCCAACACAAGGGTGTCCGGTAGCGCCAGGCGGTGGGGCCCGGATCTCAGATCCCGGTGCAGCGGTTCGCTCCGTGCTGACATTCACACCAGTCGGGCCGAGCAGCTCCTACCTGCCGCCCGCTCAGAGCAACTCTCCCGGGCGGGGGCTCCCAAGGCAAAGGCTGTTTTCCGGCACCAGCGGCCCCAGGCTGCCCCTTCTCCCGCTCGCTCGAGGAACGGAGGCGGCGGCGGCCGCAGCTACGACCGGCCCGAGGCCCCAAGCGGAGCCCGCCTCATGCTGAGGCCTGGAGACCGATGTAAGAGCCGCGGGCGTCACCTCACCGCGACCCGCCTCAGCAGGCCCCGGCCCCCGGCGCTGCTCAGGGGCGGCCTGCGCCGAGGCGCTGTTCCCCTGGGCCTTGTCACCCAGGGGTATCGCCGCCCGCTCGGCCCCTGACCCCCTGCCCGCTCCGCTCCCGCGCGCTCTTCACTTGCGCCGTCGCTATTTCCCCGCGCAGTGCGCGCCCCTTGCCCCAGGAAAGGCAGCAGCTGAGTTGCTAATGCGCATGCTCAGCTTCCTTCAGCCATGCGTAGTAGCCTCCAGGAGCTGCCGCGGAGAGAGGGGAGGGGGATAGGAACCGGCCCCACCCCTTGCTGCGCTTCTCGCAGCTTGGCAATTGGCCTCCGCGTGGTTGAGCCCGCCTCCTAGTGCCCGCTCCCGGCTGTTGATTGGTCTGCCTAGAGGCGGGCCTTCCTTTCCCCATGGCACTTGCTGTCAGAAAGTAGCTGTGCCCCGCCCCCTTCCCGGCCCCTGTGTCGCGGCTTCCGTGCTCCCGCTCACCATGTCCTGCTCACTCCGGCCCCTGCAGCGCCTGGGCAGCACGCGGGGGCTCCTCGCGCTCCAGCCGCCGCCGCGCGCCGCTCTCCTGTGCCAGCCTCAGCGGCGGACGCTGCCGCCGCGCGCCGCCGGGATGGTGAGGACGTGTCCGGGTCTCGCGTCGGGCACAGGGGGGAGGGGCGGTGACCTCTAATTGCTACCGCCAGCCGCCCCTCCCCCCGGGGCTGTGCGGGGGTCGAGATGAGGGGACACGCTGCGGCCTGGCGAGCGGGGGCCCCGGGGCAGTGGGGCCGCGGTCGTGCAGCCTCCCCCCACTCAGCCTCGGGCTACCGCGCGGGGCGGGTCTGTGGGACCCGAATTTGATCCTGGGCCTGTTAACCCCCCACCGAGCTCGGGTCCCGCCGGGTCCGACACACCTGGCTTGGGAGAGCTCGGCTGCAGCTGGCGGAGCCTCGCCCTCAAGCGCCTGGACCCCGCGGTGATGGGCGGCCGAACCTCTCCCGCGTCCAGTCACCGCCGAGCAGGACGCGGGACCCGAAATGGCTTGGCTGGGTGGGCTGGTGCGCGCCTGGGTCTTGCACCGCTGTCGCTATCTCCGGCCCTTTCATCCTTCCCCGGGACATCGCTAGGAGAGGCTCGTAGCTGTGAAGATAGGCCTGGATGGAAAATGGGCTAACGTGTTTAATGGCTCTTCCTGGGGATGGGGCACCCTCCGCCACTGAAAACCCTTTGAACTGCACAGCAGTGCTCACCCCAGGCTGACGGTCTATAGTCAGTTGCAGTAAATGAGGGTCATGTTGCAGTCTAAAAACACACAAGCTGTGCAAATACGAGATTGTAAATTTTACAATTAAAATTCCCTCCCTTTCAGATAGGGAGAGGAAAACTGCACCTCAGGTTTCAGTCTCCTGTAACGTCACTTTCCAGATCTTCATCAAATTGTCAAAAGCTTCCAGGAAAAAGTGGGGAGTTAGGATAGGACATTGTTCCTAAAACAGGCTTTTTAAAATGTTGATTCTGTATTTTTACAGTTTAATGGAGTACAAAGGGACAAACTTCCAAATTAATGAACAAACCAAATTACACTATTTTGAAATGTGGGGGAATTGGAATTCAATATTTAACTTAAAACAAACAGACATGTAACTTATAAACCACTGGCCTATCATCACTCTGATAATTTTGTTTGTGTATCCCTCCATATTTTCCTAGCACATTTTTTGCGTAACTAAGATCTAATAAGCAACATGCATTCTCTGAGCTGTGCCAGACAAACACAGGACTTGTGCTGTAAAACAAGCTTGTACTGTCATTCATGATATAGTTGACTGATAGTATTTAAACTCTTATTAAAAAATTAGTGGGAGACACCAGTTGTCCAAAGTTGCATTCTGAGTGGACCTTTCTGTTGTCACATTTGTGCTCCAGCTCACAACTGGGTACGCCTGGGACCTCATCCCTCACATTAAAACTTAAGTTTATCCCTATTCCTGTGTTGTTTCTTGGGTGAGGGCAAAAAAAAAACCAATGTAGTTAAAATAAACTGTTTGTCATAACCTCTGGTTTGAAGTAACTAAAAAAAAAAAAAAATGCATACAGGTTTGAGTTGCAAAACCAGTTAATTCTGTAATCAATATTAACTTCTGCCTTTCCCAACGCTACTTTTTCTCGTTTTTTGCTGCCTAGCTGCCTGAGGAATGGAAGTACCGTGAAAACCCACGAAAGCTTATGCTCAAATAAATTTGTTAGTCTCTAAGGTGCCACAAGTACTCCTGTTCTTTTTGCGGATACAAACTAACACGGCTGCTACTCTGAAACCTGTCCTTTTTTGGTAGAGGGTGAAACTATGTTAATGAGAATACAGTAAAATCTAATGGTTTGGATGTCATTTAATTTTCTGATAACTAATCAGGAAGTGTTCCTCAAAAAGTAAAAGTGGAGGATGAGCTCAAACAGCCTTTTGAGTTTGAATGGAAAGCTTTATGTTTTGGTTTGTTTTTTACCCAAACATTTCTTGTAGTAAAGGTGTTCTGAAAGAACACACTTTTTCAATCATAACTGAAGGGTTTTCACAAGGAGCACTTTGTTTAGTCACCTGAAGGTAGTAATCATCATCCAGTTCTTGATTGCTTGCTTACACTGCAAAATC